GACCTATATTTATATATCTATATAATTTATATATACATATAGGCCTATTGTATTCAAAAATTATATAAGTAAACTTTAAGCAATAAATTGTATGTTAATTCAAGTTAAAATTCATAACTAATAAAGGAATATTATCCATATTAACTTGATTTTTTTTAAATTTCTTTAAAATAAAAGTGTCTTCATCAAATCAAGTTGCCTTTTCCTGAAATCAACTTGTAATTGACTTAACAAATTACTTTCTGGTTTTCCAGTTTGACATTTAAGATTTAGATCCCCCTACAGCGATTGTCACAGCAGTGAATGCTGGTGGGTTTTCGTCGAGCCTGTGTACATGACCAAACATCATCCAACGTGACTTGGTTATTCCACAACGGCTGGGTGGCGACGGAAGTTTTATACAAGATTATACTGGTAATGTAAACTTGTATAAATCTACAGTACACTGTAAAAACAGTGTGAAGGGTGTAACCACACACTTCAACGCCATCCTATCCCGAAAATGAGAACGCGTTCAGAAACTAAACGTGTTTATGCACATGCAGTAGCCTAAATGCGATTAGGCAGGCGCGGATCTAGTTATGTATTGAAATTAGCGCTAGTCACTTATCTATTCTGAAAATGTTGTGGATCTGCCTCTGCATAAAACAAATAAAACTTAACATCAAACTAACAGTTAAAAAAGACAATTAATGCTTTCACTATAATCAACATATTTATAAGAATTTTCTTACTTAACACAGCACACTGGTAACCTACTGTACAGTGTATAATAACTAGGCATTAGTACAATTATTGTGAGTGTTTCGACATGTTTTCTGAATTTTAAAGTATACTACTCTTCGTTTGTATTTTTTTTTTCTGTACAGTATGATTTGTGACTTTTTCAAACTCTTGATATATATCTAAATGGTATTTAATGGGTTCCGAATCAGATACTTCATCAACGAATCGAATCGCCATCAGCACATCTATATATCATATCACATTCATCGCTATGTGTTTATAAGCTAATTTGTTCACAAATTGTGTAGCAGTGATTATGTATGTTAGCATGTAATATTTTCTAATGATAGAAAGCTGTAGGTTCATAAGTACCTCATAATATACGCAATAATCTATGAAGAAATGAGGTGTAACGTGATTATTTCTCTAGCATTTCCAGTTCCCCTCAGGTGATATTTTAGACAAGTTTTCACTGCTGTCGACATTTGTCATCGCCTTTCGTTTAGTCAAAATTACATTAAAGAGACTACCACGAATGCTTAAATAAACGTGCGTACACTACGTCATTCCCGTAGACGCACGCGTCTGAATCTGAATGAGGTTACGCGCTGATGTCATTGGATAAAAATCTCGATAGTTTATTTCAATAGGCACAAGACGAATACAGGCTCGAACGAAGCACGAACGTTAATTCATAAGAGAGGTACTTTAACGTAATATGTGTTGTTGGTTTTCAAAAGAACGGATTTACTGAACTGTTTTAAAGGTTGTTGTTAAATGGGTAATGCTTGTATATGCTCTTAATTCATCCAGCTCTAGAATGAATTTGTCAGCTGATTTTCAAATTTATAGTATTTTATATGTATTTGAGACGTATTTTTTGATCAGGTATACTTTGCATTATATACGTATTTGTATTTAATCATATGTACACATGTTTATAATATTTACAAATAAATGTAGTCATTTATATCCATGACTGTTCGTTAATATCTCTATAAACTACTCATTTGTTTATGTATGTATACACACATAAAATAAAAAATGAGAAAAATTTACCTGACCTTTTTAAAGAGGGGAAAACCTTGAATTTTGAAGAACTTTAAAAGTCATTAAAAGACATTTTCAGAAGTCAGGTAAGCTCAACTCCTGCCATCTAGAAATCGAAATTTTTCCGGGGAACCCGGACCCTTTATCTTTGGAGTTCATTGATTAATTGAATCATTTTCAAGGGGTTGGGGGGAATCTTGAATTTTGAAGAATTTAAAAGTCATTAAAAGACACCACAAAAGCTGTCTCTTATACACATCTAGATGTGTATAAGAGACAGCATAAATACACATTAACACACACACAGTATACACCCACACATACAGTACATACTTATACACACACACCCAAACATATATAAATTAATTAGATAATGGTTTTGTAATGTTCTTTCAATTTTGCAGTAAATACATTAAGATTGTCCAGTACTACAGAGTCTTTGAGAGTATTTGGTAGGTTTGACCACAACCGCGGGAACTCGTTGATGGTGCAGTGTTTTCGCACCTCAGTACGTGCGTAGTGGTGTTTAAAAGTTAGCAAGTCAGTGTATCTTGGATCTATTGTGTTTGATAGAATGGAATTGCATTGTATGTCCATATAAGCATTTAATGGTGAATAATATAGTGTTTTGTTTCCTTCTGTTTTCAAGAGTGGTCATATGGAGACATATGGAGGGTAAACCATACTCTAATACCGGTAGCACAAGTGTTGTATACAAGGAACACAGGGCTTTAGTTGAACAACGACCAGCGACTTGCCATAAGAATCCCAAAAGCCTTGATGCTTTGTGGACAACTATTTTAACATGTTCATTCCATTTCAAATCGTCGGTTATTGTTAATCCAAGATACTTATATGAAGTGACTACGGAGAGGTTTGATCCACCGATGTGATATGTTGGTAGTGCATGTTTCTTCTTCGAAGAACGTGTCATGTGCATCACCTTTGATTTCCCTGTATTAAAATGCATATTATTCACAATGCTCCAATTTTTTAACTTGTCAAGATCATGTTGTAGATTTAACTCGTCATGTAATGAGTAGATGGGCGTATATATTAAAGTGTCATCTGCAAATAGCATGGTCTTGGAATACACAATTAATTAATGTGCTATTTTTGAAATTTGTTTTAATTCTTGTGTAATTTTGTTGTGTGTTTTAAATAATAGATTTCATTTTATTGTAATTCTATATGTTTTGACTGCAATAACTGAAATTGGATTTCAAGTCTAACCATGGTAATATATTAGACAGTATGAAATACGCTATAATAAGCTATAATTTGTTTCATTACAAATTGTTCAGTTTCAGGAAAAAGAGAAATGAAGTTCAAAATATACATAGCTTGCATCACTTTATTTTGTTTCTTCCATACCTTTGTCAAACTCATTGATGGATACCATAGTTTGTTTTTGTCATGGTATTAAGACAATATTTTGAAACTCACAGCATATAAACACTTCTCTCCTTTGTTCTCGGGACAGTTACTTCGGTTACTCCACTTCTTCACTTGACTGACCAGTCGCATATTGACCTCTGAACAGTTTAAGCCAAATGTCCTATGAAAGATGAGAAAGAATAACCATGGATCAAGCAGCTATAAATTTTTGGGGAAATGCTCATATGCAATTTGCAATCATTTTAGTAGTCATTAGTTTTAGACTTAATCAATGTTGCCCTAAAAAATATCGATAGCGATTATAAACTACTGTACTGTACATACTGTAGTTACAAATAAGGAGGCAAAAAATTACCCATCAAGGCCAAAATGACTTGGAGATAAAAGAGTAAAAGCCAAAATGATCCGTCTGGCATTTACAGGAAAAGTAATGCATAATGTACAGCAAAGCAAAACAGAATTATTCAATAAAGCATCGTTAATCCTTAATTTTGCAAAAAGATTCTTTATTATTTGCTTTCAATATTGTCAATGAATGTCAAATAAATCAGAAAGAAAAATACAATCTTCGCCTTTTTATTGCTCTGCTTTTAATTTTTCTCTAATTTTCTGGAAAGCACATAAAGACTGTAGATAGGCCTATGCGCTATAGGCCTACAAGCACAATTAATATAATAATAATAATAACAATAATAACATTAACAATAAAAAATAAAAATACAGTAATAATAATAACAGGCCTAGGCCTAGGCTAGAACTTTATATCATTGTAATTCTTTCACATTTTATTTCTATTTATAAATCTGACTAATGAACGCGTGCAAAAAAATAATAAAGAGTCGGGCTAGATATAGCCCTAGGCTAGATCTAGCCCTAGACTAGATCTAGCCCTAACTATTAGTAGGTCAATTCAAAGGGTAGCCGATCATTTCGGTCGTGATTCGTTTCGGTTGCGGTTCATTTCTAACATATATATGGAGCGCCAATGGAGTTGCAAAAGCGCATCAGGGTTATTTACTAGGCTTAGTTATTTTCGTTTTGTTGTGTTTTCATTAACAACATAGTATTTATCAAAATCACACTTTTTATCATATTGTTTGTGTTTTCATTAACATACTTTACTATTTGTGGCATTTTCATATACTATATTTTGCTTGTAGGCCTACATAAAATATATTCAGTTAGTTTACGAAATATGCCAATATTAAGTTCGTCAATCGGTTTATCCATTTGTATTATTATAATATATATACTGTCTCTTATACACATCTCAAATCGATTCCTTTAAACATTGGACCTGTCTCTTATACACATCTAGATGTGTATAAGAGACAGTATATATCTTGTGCGACATGTGGTGGTTGCTGCTTTGTTTCTTACTCAGATATACAGTATTTCCATTTTTTTTATGTTATCCATTTGTATTATTTAATGATTGATTCATTCATTCATGTTAAACCAGGGAGTATGTTTAGTGGTTAAACTGAGTGACGAACTTACAATGATATAGGAATACAGCGTATTAGGCCCTAGATTTTGCGTTTTCGCAACTCCATTGGCGCTCCATATAATTGTTAGAAATGAACCGCGACCGCAACGAAGCGCGACCGAAATGATCTGTATTCATTCAAAGCCCTACGCATAAACCTAGGTAGCCCTGTTGCTACTTACGCCTCCTCTAGCCTAGGCCGAAGGCCTAGCTTACGTACCAATTTGCACGACAGGAAGCATGGAAAGGGTAGGGAAAGAATGCAGCACGGCTAGGCCTAGGCCATGGGCTTAATAGGATGACGACACATACTGCTAATGCAGTCAAAAACATCATTCTTGATAACATTTCGCCTACTGTATAATATCTTCGAGGTTCCTCTATAACCGGGTCGTCATTAGTGTGAAGCTGTTGATATTTCTGCATTGTCAATTAAACTTTAACGTTACGTAACTATTATCAACCAAGGAATCTCTCTGTGGTGGTTATATAAGAGCAATTTTGATAAGAGCCCAAACAGCGCCACCATAATAGCAAGGAAAGACTCGTTCGATAGGTATTGTACAGAGAAATGAAGCAAGTTTATGCTGTATCCCTGAATACTAGAAATTCAACTTCCTCTGCAAAAAAAAAAAAAAAAAAAAACACAAACACTGGAAGAAACTGATTTGTATGCTAGGCCTATGTACCAGCATACACCAATAGTGTTATTCTGAGTTCGTCAACTTAACGTCAAAATGCAAAATGTAATTTTGGTTTTTCATATTACCACTGTGTGGAATTATAATTGTTTGCCTAACCAGGGGCGGATTTAATTAGTCTGTGAAAATTCCCATCTAGTTCGTCTGACCACCAGTGGCACCACTTTTGCTTCCAATACGGCGAGTAATTTTATGTTAAATTCATAATCTGTCCGTGTCACTTCACAAGTAGCTATTTCTGTTAGTAGAGGTTTAGTGGAGGTATTTTGCATTTCTTAGACCGTAGTATTCTAGAAAGTTTGTTTTTACATCATAATGTTTTTCAAAGCCTCATATTTAATTATTTTGCTTGGAGGTTAATTCGTTTATACACCCGAAACCACATTAGTAACAATTCTGATAAAAAAAACAAATAATGGGTAATTTTCAATTAATCAAATCGATTCCTTTAAAGGACTCATGATGTAAAAATTATAGATGTGGAAAAAAACTCCGCCCATGATCTGGCATTTTTCAGCAACAAATTACGTACATTTTGAAAGAATTTTAAAATTATGTAGTTGTACCTCATGATGATATGATATATAATATATGAAAGGATAGGACATTTTCTTCTTATGGAGTCTATTCACAAGATCATCAACTCTGTAGAGCCATTTCGAGGATAGAATATATTATATAATATGAGATATGATATTATGATACCGTAGATACAAGTACAGGATACAAGTCAACTTTATTGTCAAAAAATATATATTTTTTGTACATAACATAGAATCGTTTATAAATGTGATAAATATCAATTAAAATTCTCTCGTAAATAAAAATAGGAGTATATGATATAATATGATAAATATAATATGATATCAAACACACATGTCAAATCACACGACGCAAATTGCCTTGTACGCGAATTGCCTTGTAAGTATTTCTATGCATGAAAGAACCAAAGACAATACACAAAAGAAGAAGCTGATCACTGTAGAAGTATCGCCCCCACAAATTTAAATACAATGAAAAGAGTGAGTCATGTGACAAATGGCATATACCTGCAACCTATTCGAGCTCTGTTGTTATTACTATGTGTGTATATTGTGATTGGAGCTACACAACAAACCTAATTGAATTCTCTCATATCATTTCTCAGCTGTGACCTACTGTACAGGCAGTGCCACCGATAGGTGTGTGGCGGGTGGGGGGAATTGATCCCTGTGGCTTAAGCTTAACAGTGGCCCATATAAACTGCAGGTAGCATTTTATTTTCAATTTGTTTTTTCAAAAATGATAATTACTATCACGGGCCCTCAATAATGGCATGGGTCCCCTAATAATATGCCCCTCCAGATTGACAGGTTCCTCACCCCCACCAAAAAAAAAAATGTTTTGGGCATTCAGCACATATCTTTGTCCCGCTTTGCGGTCGTAACTGGGGCCCACACCAACCCTTTCCCCTGTTACAGTTTCTCCTCTTGGCGGCCTTGACTTTAGTTTCTAGCTTAAACCATGCTCCGATGTGGTGAGTGCAAAACTCAGTTGCATGAGAAAAGCTTTGTATTTGATTGTGGAGAAAATAATATATAGTAGGCATAGCTGTGATTCAATTCAATTCACTTTAATTCAAATTTATTTGAGCATAATTCAACACATTACATATAACAAAACAATGAACAATAAAAAGATAATTTAATAAAACATTTAACGCGCACGGTGAACCCCCAAAAAACGGGAATCGGTTTATTTCCATTGGGGTGTCTTTTATTTTTAAAAATGGCTATACAAAACGAACTGAAATTCTTTTATATATTAAAACCAGTGACAATATGTACATTAGACTTCCTCTTCTATTTTTAAGCGTCGTCCATATTCTATTATTGAAGTTATAATAAGACAAACTAAAACAAGAAATGAATGTTTTAAACAAAAGAACCGGTGATTTATAAACATATTGCTGAGTAAATTTTCTATCATTCCTAGGCCATTATTTTTATAAAACTGAAATTGTGAATCATTTATTATATCTCGTCTTAGCAAGCAATATCTATAATTATTTGTGAAACGATAGAAAAAAGTGGTCACTAACATACTTCTTCCACATGGTATAACGAAGCCCAAAATTGTCTAGCATTTTTTTTTTGCTTTTTATTATTATTAACGCCCAGTTTTCAAATATATTTTTAGCATTTTACATGCATTAATTCCATTGCTAACAACCTTTAAATATGAATAGGCCTAAACATAAATAATAATTATTAAATACTGTAAAAAGTATAACAAATATCAATGCAATACACATAAATATTCCATTTCGTACTTTATATACTGCGCATATCTATGTAATAATGAGATACGTCGTTTTATATACAATCGATAAATATTAATTGCAGTATTCGGATACATGCCACCTATAGAAGTACAGTCTGTTTAAAAATTGCAGACAGTTTATAAACCGCAATTGAAGCTATCAGTAGCAAGTTAAAATATATTGACTTCTAGGGGATTACCGTACTTTATTTATTTTATTTTTTTGGCAATTTACATATGAAGGGAATATAAAGAATACAGCAAAAATATAATGAATTGAATAAAACTGTCTGAAAAAATGAACAAAAATAACAAGAAACAAACACAGTAAAAGATAAAAAAAAAACAAAAAAAAAAAAACAATCATAAAACACATTTAAGGTTTGTCAGGCCGGACAGACAAATATGGAACACTGGCATCACTTAGTGTGTCTCTCCAAACTTGAATTGGCTTGTCACAAATGGTACATCATTGCACTAAAGAGTCACTAAATATACTTCTAAAAGGCAAACAAATGAAAACAACATCATAATAAGCGTAGGCCTATTACATTTTTTTTAATCAAATAACAGAATTAATTCCTGTCTGAGTGTATAGATAAGGCAAAATATTGAATTGGTAAATAAATAATTCATTTTAAATTATACAATTCCAGCTTGTTTTTTGGGGTTTTTTTTGTTTTTTTTTTCCTTTCTAAAATAAATATGGAGTCGGAAAAACAAAATAACCCATTTGACTTGATTAGCGACTCATGTTGCAGAATAATTGTTTTATAACATCGTCCTTTTTCATAATTCCACAATGTTTAAACATAACTCGATTTTGTACTACAAGTTAAACAAAATGTTTTCGGGAAGTTGTCATTTGCATTGTAAACAAATTGTTTGTGATAGGGACAATCATATACAAGTGTTTTTGTACTTATTGATTGGTTTTCTGGAGTTTCGTCAACAAATGATACTTGCGATGAGCTAGAAACGTTGTGGCTGTCTAAAATTCCATCTTCTGAATGCTGTGACGAATTACCCGAATCTGTGCTTAACCGGTTTTTTAAATCTTTTAAATATGTGGGAGTATGATAATCAGTTGCATTTTGGGGTTTCTTATAAGAAACTGCAAACATACATTTCATTCCACAACATGTTTTTACACAGTTTTTTTCCTTGATTGCATGTCTGCATTGCACGTTGCTGTCCCTGTTTTCGTTAACGCAATGACCGTCGCAACTTGCGTGCGTGCATTGTGCAACGTTGCTTAAATTATTTCGTTTGAATTTCCAATAAATAACCTTACTAAGAAACATAAAAAATATCAAGCAAAAGAGGCAAACTGTTAACACCTTCAACGGAAAGATCCCATGTGAATGGTGATCTTCTTTATCAGGCGCGATCGTACCATCTGGGAATGCATTGCATTGAATTCGTAGCTGACTAAAATCCATGCCGTTACTACAGGAAGGAGGCTTCCATTCTGTGCATCTTTCTTTGAATCTGTCCGACAATTCAAGCATGTTAGCCTGGCAGTTACAGTCAAATATATTGCCTGAAAGGGTAAATGAGTGTAAAGACAAGAACGTATCAAGAAGTGCCACTGGTAATTCTTTAAACGAATTATATCGCAAATCAAGCGACCTTAGATGTGAACAATTTCTGAACAGCTCCGGGTCAAGATATGTAAGGTTATTTCTCGACAAATCAAGAACTGATAAACTAGTGTTTAAGAATGCTGCAGGAGGAATATACGACAGAGAATTGTTCCCGAGGTACAGCTTCTCCAAAGTTTTCAGATTTTGAAAAGTGGTGTTATGAAAAGCAGTCAATTGATTTGACGCTAAGTTTATAATTCTAATAGCAGTCATTTCTCTAAACACTTCGTCTCCGATAACTCTGATTTCGTTATGATGCAGCATCAATTCCTGTAATAAATTCACGTGCCTTAGTCTGACTTCCATACTTTTTAGGCAATTATTTTCAAGATCTAGTTTCTGCAAAGAGGAGTAGTGCTCAAGCCCTTTTGAAATGTCGTCAATGTAATTCTTTCTGAGACTTAAGCGTTTAACGCCTGCAAAGCATCTCGGAATTTCATGGAGGTCTTTATTGATGCATCGGATCTCGTGGTAGAATCCTGGCATCTCATCGTCATATTCTATACACCTGACAGTCCCCACATCTGTAACGCATTCGACTTTGGTAGTTGCAGAACATTGGTCTATAAGAAGCATGCCAAACACCGCGTATGCACACACGTAAACGTTTACCGTTTTTCTCTCCATCCTGATACACATTAATTGTAGGCTAGAAAGCCTGTTATCGTAATCATACACAAAAAGTATTTTTTAACAGGTCTTTCGACGTAATGAATAGGCCTAATAAATCAATCAGTATAAATGAAGTAGCCTTTGGGGAACAACTAATAATCACACCCTACTGTGACTCGTCATTTAGAAAACATTAATTTCTTGTGGCAAAAAGAGGGAGTAATTGGCTTATGTGTACCGTTGATATTTCTGACTTCATATAAGGCTATATATAGGCTTATCTATAGTTATTACTCATACCGCTCCATTGTCAACTCTATTAAATATTTCGTCATAGGAGCGACCCTGGGTATTTCCAACGAGGTGCTTTTATTCCCCACCACAATATATACATATAAAAAAAAACAAGTTTCCTGTATATAATCATTATGCCTCAGTGAATGGCTGTGAAAGCATAAAATAATGTAGGCCTACGTCATATATACAATTAGCCAACCACAACCTGGTAAATTGGGCCTAATTGTTTATTCTACATCACTGGGGGGATTTCTGTATTTTTATCCGAAAATTCCCGGTAGTTGCAAGTAGATCCGTTAATGTCAAGCTCGCATGCCTACATTATCTGATAGTGTGCTGGGAAACATATTGGTAGTTGCATAGGTTTAACGAAAGGAGTATTCCAAAATTATTAGGCTTATGATTTCTGTAATGAAATTGTTTACAATGACTGCACCTATGCAACAAAAGCAACACTTGCTATGGTTATTTTTACAGGTGTTCCAATATTACCATATAAATGCCCATTTTGTCATCTGTGGGTTTTGTTTGAAACACAAGACCTATTCAAGTACATTATATTTTTAATTGGTGTGGAAACTATGTTGCTGTTTTCTGATTTTAATAATTGCACTTCATCTTACAGTGGCACTCACAAAATGTGGGGTGAGATCTTACTGCAATGCTGAATAACAAAGGTCAAAGAGCATAAGGTGGTCTCATGATGTTAAACCATGGTATAATGAAAATCCTTCATCAGTTATATACTGGAGGTCGTGGGTATCGATTCGATAATTAATAATAAAATATTATGGGGTTTCTTAGATATCCGTCATCGTCACCATTCATTTACAATTCATAATTACGTCATATCAACAAAACAATAACAAGAATAACATTTCTGTAATATGGAATTCATCTGTAGAACATCGTAAATTTACTTAGAGTAGTAGGCCTACTTGTTGATGAAAAAAAACCCCAATAATATAAACTTACTA